AGGTTTTTTGTCATTTGGGTGAACAGGCCCTTTAACTGTCCCAACCACTAGTAATCATTGTGTTGTATGGGATCATTTTGATGACGTAAATGAAACGGTTCGGTGTAAATATTGCAGTGCCTTTGGCTGACTGAAGAATGTGTCGTTTTCAGTTAATTTCCTCCAGAATGTGGCCTCTAACTCTCATTTCTCTCTGCTGAGTCTGGATGAACGTTACCTTCAGGCTACTGCTGGTCTGGAGCAAAAAACAGACTGTATAATAACTAACAGTGTTGAGATTCGGAGTGTGATGCTCCACAGTATATTAAGTCATAAATATTATTGGATATGTCATAGAAATGTAGTTATTGTGTCTGGTTTTGACTCCCTTTCACTTTTGTTTTTGTCTGTTTTGTGCATCTTGGTTGATCTTCTGTGTTAGTTTAGAGGGGAGAGTGAAAGGAAAATGATAAAGTAATGTTTTGTCTGTTACTTTGCACTCCATTTCATCCTGAAGCCATTTATTTCTCACACTCACACACACAAAGCAAGAGAGAGTTATTTGTTTCAGCCGGTTCAGTTGTGAGGAGTTTAACCAGAAAACGGAAAGACTTTTATCCTAAAACCTGTTTAGAAAAATGGGTTTGCTGTATATGGACTGTGTCTGTTCGCTACGTATTCATCATGTTGTGGAGACAAATCTGTTCACACACTGAGGACTCGCATATTTCTTAGGTTGAAATCCTTCTTGATAAATGATAGTTATCAAAGTTTTTGCTATGTTTTGGGAGTTGCCGTTCCAGTATGCATTAAATTCCAGTTTAAACTCAGACTCGAGCATATGAATCTACATAACTGGCATATTGAAGTATACAGTAAACCTTGGTGTAATATTTCTATGCCATTAGAGACTTTTGTTTTTGTAAAAATAAATAATATTGTTAGTTGTGTGTATAGAACAGGTCAGTTAACTTATAATCTTCAAGGCCACCATGTACTTTCTGTCTCACCAGCTGTTATTATATTAGGTTGTTTTGATTCAGACAGCAACAGGTTGACTTAATATATTATGTGGTACTATTGAATTAAACCAAGTATATTTGACAAATTGTTAAATACAACATTTCTGAAACCATGGGCGCCTGGTTAGCTCATTTGG